AACGTGCGCGCCACCTTGACTTCCTCAACGTTTACAGCGTTTATTCCGCTACCGGAGAGATGAAGGTTATTGTTGTGACTGCGAACTGTCTTGAAAATTCTAAAGTAGAAGTAAAAGATGATGCAAGATGGAATTCCAATGAAAATTGCCTCGAAGGAGCTCAGTGCAGTGGTGTCAATGTTGAGAAAGCAGATGAACTTGTCCGGCTGAAAAATCATTTTGTGCCCACTGAGGACGTAGGGAAACGGAACTAACATGGAATAGAGCCACGCCACAAGGATCATGACCATGGCTTTCTTTTTGGTGAAGTAGCTGCGGTATTTCGATGGTTTGACGATTCTAAAATATCTGTTCACTGCCATTAAGGCCATTGTGTGAATCGATGCAACACTCAAGGCGATAGTTATGTAGCCTTGATATTGACAGGTTGTATGGTTAAAAGGCCATTGAGATAACAGTGATACAGGAACACCCAAGGGACATACCATGAAAACACCAAATGATAAGTCCGAAACAGCGAGTGATGTTACGAACATGTTCGGAATTGTTCGCATCCGAGGGTTTAATATCACAACCAGGAGTGTAAAGACGTTTCCAACAAACAAAAACAACAAGACAAGCACGAAAACTCCTGTTTCCAGAATGACTTTCTCTTTACTTCTTGACTTTAATTCTTTCAACATGTCCGCCAGTTGCTTGTCCGCAGAGGAATCCATCATGGACCCGTCAGTTCTAGGTAAGAAGAAATAAAAATTGAACATAACGAAGATGCAAACAGATATATTTATGGCATTCAAAAAAACTTATCTATTATTTATTTAAACAATTTGCCCATGGTCGGTGGTAATGTAAAAACCCATTAAGCTACATTAAGTTCCCTACAAGACTTGAATCTCGAATATAACCCCCAAACCCTCTTGACATACGTTTCCCAAAAGTTGCTACAGAAGACAAAAAATTAATATACAATATTTTTTTTTAATTCCCTTCAAGATATGACCGTATACGAATATAATCCATATTCAGTAAAAACGATTCTGACCAACACGCAAAGAAACCTCTTCGACTGAGGGCTGAATTAAAGCGCCAACATTTAGGGCTATCTTCTATTGACGTCCGTTTGCCAAAAGTTGCTTCTAAAGACAAAAATGTACATTATATATTAAAACTATTTATGTGCTGAACTTCATAATGAAGCTCTAGTCTTCAGAAGATTCATTATTGCATACCTTTTCTTTTGGTTATCGAGGCCACCTGGTTTGGCCCTGAAATTTCTGCGTCTATTTTTCTATATTAGTCTTGTTTCTTAACTCTTTTTTTGCCTAGTATCGTTAGTTTGTAAAAATCATGAGATTTGGTTTGAATGACTTCAAAAGAAAACACATCTTATTGACTAACTCTTCATAAGTGACAAACTGACCTCGCGGGCTGATTTAGTTTTCAGGGCAGATCACATATAAAAGTTATGAATATATGAAAATCATATATGAGAACTGCGGGGTGAAGAATGACGCGATGATCTTCTTTCGTATAATTAGATCACATATTGTCTGACTGCGCAAAAAACTCGTAAACGTCTGTGAGTTGTCTAAATTAGCCATGTTTTAATAGCTGCACTTTGTCATTAGCCGGCCAATCGGAGCATGAAGTTGTTTAGTAGCCTTGGGTCATCTGTAAACGTTTATTGAAAAACTGTCGCCAGCGCTTGCTTAAAGGTTACATTCAGTGTGGAGAAAGTTGACTGAGTTGTGAAAAAATATTGGTGATTTTGGCTGGTGAGGAAGTTTTGTTTTGGTTTTACGGAAAGTACACCTCGACGGACTCTGAAGATTAGGTGAATTTCATAAAGCGGCATCAAACTCGTGTTATTTGAAAAATATGATGTCATATCAAGAACTAATTACTATATACTATCACTATTAAGGTAAAAAAAAACACAGCAAAAACCGCGTGCACGATCAATCTTGCTCAACGTCGGATACAAAAAGATCGTGATCAGTCAAAATGGATCATATTGAAGACTTTTGCAGAGACTGATCAAACAATGTTAAGCAGATGGAAAGGAAGCCATTCTATACTGTTTCATTACCTACACTTTTAGTATAAGCCTGTCGTTGTATGCAGGGGCTTAATTAGCTAGGGGGTGGTCCTGGGGTGCCCGTGCCCCCCCCCTCTTCGTGAAAAAAAATTGCTTTATGTCCCTATAATTCAGGTGGCGAAAACGCGCGAATCCTAAAAATCAACTTGCAATAAATCTTTGCCAGAACTAGATAGTTACGTAGTCCATTTGGAGGACCGAACATCTGCAGTGGACCATGCCATGTTCTTGTTCACAACTAAAATGAGTAATTTATGTTACGTGTAACTATGCAGCTATTTTGCAGGCTTTTCCCTCCCTCCACGCTCACTGCTCCGAAACAAATGTCACTTTTAGTAAAACACGACGTGGATATAGAAATGCCAATCAGGTAAATACTCTGGGTGTGACAAAACGTGACCCACCCTTTGAAATATCCTAGCTACGCCCCTGGTATGACGACGTTTGAATGACTAAAATAAATGAATAAACAATACAAATTGTTTTCCTGCAAGTACTAACTTTTGTAAGGGTTACCGAGTACAGAAAATGTAAATATGAATATGTGTGTTGATTGAATTGATTTTTAATTGGGAACTTATAAATTGTGAAAACAAAAGTCTCTAGAAACGTCTAGTAGCTTTTTCAAAGGGTGAGTATGTCCCATCACTGGCCAGCAGAAGTAGTCAAGTCAAAGAAATATATCTTTAATCAGACACAAAAACAAGGACAACGGCTCTGGAACTACATAGAATTAATTTACAGCAATTTTTTTATTCGTTCCCCACTCTATATCCAGGGGGAAAAATGAATGTATGATTCAGCTACGTCATCATGATTATAGCCATTATGAATACATTTTTAAATTCATGAAAATGACAAGGAAGCTAATTGAAACCGATCTTTAGGGTGAAAAAGAAAACATGCATGTTGGAGCTATGGATATATAAGGTACTGTGGAATCCCGATTTTTGGAGTTAACCACCTTGGAAAAATCAACTTGGTTCGAATTATCGGGAAGTTTGAAAAATCGGGTAAAATCACAATGCCTGACTGGTAAAGGGAGGTTAAGTTTGGTTCGAATTATGGAGAATTCCAAAAAACTGAGGATTCGAGAAATCGGGATTCCATTGTAATAGATTGTACAATTGTACCGTATTAATAATAATACTAATAATAACGGTTTAATATCAGTACATCCATGGTATGGCTATTCGCCTGACATAAAAGTAAAATGAGGAAATTAACATAAATCTGAATTTTGAATTTGTAAAAAGCTAGTCAATAAACAGTAAAATGTAATTATACAATATATACATACATTATCTAAAACTAGGCAAGAAATCATTCCGCCCTATTCCGGCAGCGCTCCCTTAAAATACATAATGTTTGCTTACCGACGGATTTAAAATTATCACAACATTTAACATTGGATGGCAGTGATGTTCATCAGCAATAGACATTCCTCAACCAATAAAGAGCTCTTCCCCTGTAACATGTGTAATATGTCAAATTTAGCAACACTCTTTATTTGAATCACTGGGAATTGTTCTGTCCTGAATTGTAACACCTGTCGTAAATTGTAATAACAGTCGTTGTAAATTGTATTATTGTATAGATACTGATGAAATACCAGGATTTTTCTTTTTACTGGTGCTATTTGGTTAAAATTTGCTTTTGGTTAAATTTGGCAGTGAAAGGGTTAAAGGGGTGTCCGTATAAAGCAGGTTGAATTGTGAGAAAATGTAAGGGTTTTCTTTCCCAGGGACAAAGCAATTTGTCCGTAATAATGAGGTGTCCCTATTAAGCGGAGTTTGACTGTACCGCATTTATTCAAATAAGCGCCGCCCTTGAATAAGCGTCGCATTTGGGACAAAAAAGTAAATAAGCCTGGCGGCCCTGATATAATTAACAATTAATGAATGAAGCTGAGTATCTTATGAAGAATTATGGAGATCAAGGAGGGTGTTAGCCGTCGAGGCTATCGATGTTAAGTTCATCTTCGATAGTGCACGTTTAGGTTTGTCCAGCTCCGCAAATATTCTCCAATTTTAGCAGATGTCGCCCTTCGAGTTGTCTTCTTGCTGTTCTTGCCATGTTTTTAGCTATGTTTTCGACTAGTTCTTACTCTTGAAACGAGCGGAAATGTCCGCCATTTTTCAAGTTCACAATCAAAACAACTCAACCTCGTCCCCAGGTCTTCTCGATTAACGGTGCCTAACCTGCAAAAACGCTGCATTTTTGACGTCATTTCCTCGTTATTTAAACACAAAATTTTTCCAAATTTGGTCATCAGTAACTGGTTATGGTGAATTAAACCAGTGCTTTTAGCCAATCAGAGTCGGGAAAATATTTTGAAGGAATAATAATAAAAATTAAAAGACGTTAATTGTAATAATACCGTAGTTAAAACAATTCTTTGTTGTGTCCAACTTTCAAATAAACGCCGCCCTCAAATAAGCACTGCGTTCGAGGACTGAAAAATTTCATAAGTTATCGAAAAAACTGCACTCTTCTAGAAAAGAGAAGTGGATTGGTGTAACACACTGGTTGCACATACCAAAAGACGCCCTCCACCTCAGCACAAGAGTTGCAAAACTGTAAGGCTACGAAACGTGAAATCAGGACAAAAGATGTCAGAATGTTAACCTTGATAGAGGGTCATTAGGACAAACGCCGAGTTAAGGAATTGAGTCCAACACTGAACGTGGATGAGGGCGTGGACGACCTCCTACATACGGCGCCCGGTTAAAGTGACCGATGGCCAAGTCAACCACTCGCTTGATAAAGAAGTTGTGATAAAGTTGAAATTTTTCTGTTCGACTCAAAACACAAATCGGATTTCAAATCAACACGATGCCATACGTTCATCGGGTAGACCCCGACGCCCACGGCGTTTCGTTCCTCCCACCACCGATAGTACTACAACAGCTTGTGGACGGCAGTACCTACAGCGTAGCAACTTCAGATATTCTCTACGGAAATTCCTGTTTACCACGCCATAAATCAAAGGATTCAAAGCAGTACTTAAGGTTGCCAAAACGCTGTATGCTATGTAAGCCTCACGAGGAAAGGTCCAACTTCCGCGTATTACGTCTACAATGTCAATTACCACAACCGGAGCCCAACACAAAGTAAAAAACACCACTATCACAAATAACGTGCGCGCTACCTTGACTTCCTCCACGTTTACAGCGTTAATCCCGCGACGGGAGAGATGAAAGTTATTGTTGTGACTTCGAACTGTCTTGAAAATTCTAAATTCTAAAATTGTCTCGAAGGAGCCCAGTCCAGTGGTGTCAATGTTGAGAAAGCAGATGAACTTGGCCGGCTGAAAAATCATTTTGTGCCCACTGAGGACGTAGGGAAACGGAACTAACATGGAATAGAGCCACGACACGAGGATCATGACCATGGCTCTCTTTTTGGTGAAGTAGCGGCGGTATTTCGATGGTTTGACGATTCTATAATATCTGTTCACCGCCATTAAGGCCATTGTGTGAATCGATGCAACACTCAAGGCGATAGTTATGTAGCCTTGATATTGATAGGTTGTGTGATCAAAAGGCCATTGAGATAACAGTGATACAGGAACACCTAGGGGACATACCATGAAAACACCGAACGATAAGTCCGAAACAGCGAGTGATGTTACGAACATGTTCGGAATTGTTCGCATCCGAGGGTTTAATATCACAACCAGGAGTGTTAAGACGTTTCCAACAAACAAAAACAACAAAATAAGCATGAAAACTCCTGTTTCCAGAATGACTTTCTCCTTGCTTCTTGACTTTAGTTCATTTAACATGTCTTCCAATTGCTTCGCTCTGGAATCCTCGGAATCCATCTTGGGTCATTCAGTTATAGCTGAGAAAAAAGAGAGAGAAAAACTAAGAATTGAACGTAACAAGGACGCAAAGGGATATATTTATTATTTATTTCAACAATTCGGTCATGGTTGGTGGTAAGATTACTTTCAGTGTGGAGAAAGTTGACTGAGTTGTGAAAAATATTGGTGAGATTGGCTGGTGAGGAAGTCTGTCTCGGTTTCACGGAAAGTACACCTCGATTTGACTCTAAAGATCAGGTGAATTCCATAAAGCGGTATCAAACTCGTGTGATTTGAAAAATATGATTTCATATCAAGAACTAATTACTATATACTGTCAAAATTGTTTTTGTTAAGCAGATGGAAAGGGAGCTGTTCCATACTGTTTCATTACCTACACTTTTTGTTATAGGCCTGTCGTTGTATGCAGGGGCTTAATTAGCTAGGGGGTGGTCCTGGGGTGCCCGTGCCCACCCCCCCTCTTCGTGAAAAAATTGCTTTATGTCCCTATAATTCAGGTGGCGAAAACGCGCGAATCCTAAAAATCAACTTGCAATAAATCTTTGCCAGTGCTAGATAGTTACGTACTCCATTTGCAGGACCGAACATCTGCAGTGGACCATGCCATGTTCTTGTTCACAACTAAAATAGAGTGATTTATATTACGTGTAACTATGCACCTTTTGCAGGCTTGTCCCTCCCTCCACGCTCACTGCTCCGAAAAAAATGTCACTTTTAGTAAAACACGGCGTGGATGTAGAAATGCCAATCAGGTGAATACTCTGGGTGTGACAAAACGTGACCCACCCTTTGAAATATCCTATCCACGCCCCTGGTATGACGACGTTTGAATGACTAAAATAAATGAATAAACAATACAAATTGTTTCCTGCAAGAACTAACTTTTGTAAGGGTTACTGAATACAGAAAAAGTAAATATGAATATGTGTAAATTCTTGAAGAAATTCATCAGGCTAGAGAAGTTAAACAGTCGATTTAAATGTTCTTAAAGATGGCTGACAGTCATCGAAACTGTCAGCATCAATAAGACGTTAAGACTGGCTATGTTTTAAGAACACATAAATCGAATGAATATGTGTGTTGATTGGATTGATTTTTAATTGGGAAGTTATAAATTGTGAAATTCCAAAAAACCCATGTCTCTTCAACAAAAGTCTCTAGAAACGTCTAGTAGCTTTTTCAAAGGGTGAGTTACGGTCCCATCATTGACCAGCAGAAGTAGTCAAGTCAAAGAAATATATCTTTAATAAGGACAACGGCTCTGAAACTACATAGAATAGATGTACAACAATTTTTTATTCGTTCCTCATTCTATATCCAGGGGGAAAAATAAATGTATGATTCAGCTAGTCATCATGATTATAGCCATTATGAATACATTTTTAAATTCATGAAAATGACAAGGAAGCTAATTGAAACCGATCTTTAGGGTGAAAAAGAAAACATGCATGTTGGAGCTATGGATATATAAGGTACTGTGGAATCCCGATGTTTGGAATTAACCACCTTGGAAAAATCAACTTGGTTCGAATTATCGGGAAGTTTGAAAAATCAGGGGTCAGTAAAATTACAATGCCTGACTGGTAAAGGGAAGTTAAGTTTGGTTCGAATTATGGGGAATTTCCAAAAAACTGAGGATTCGAGAAATCGGGATTCCATTGTAACAGATTGTACAATTGTCCCGTATTGAGTGATGTTTATCAGCAATAGACATTCCTCAACCAATAAAGAGCTCTTCCCCTGTAATATGTGTAATATGTCAAATTTAGCAACACTCTCTATTTGAATCACTGGGAATTGTCCTGTCCTGAATTGTAACACCTGTCGTAAATTGAAATAACAGTCGTTGTAAATTGTGTTATTGCACAGATACTGATGAAATACCAGGATTTTTCCTTTTACTAAAAAATCATATCTTCATCGCGCGCAGTGAAGATACTATTTTTATCTTTCGCGTGTGAGGATATAGGTGTCGCCATGGTTACTAACATGATTAGAGTTTTCGAAGTTTTCCCGACAAACTGAACTCCTCCGTACCCTGTGGAACAGGCTAAACATTTTTATTCTCTCATTGGTTTAATTATTGATTAAGGCTTAGTTCACGGCACGACGGATAACTTTTCGTGTCGACACTCTCTTCTCCGCAGATGCATCCGCGGATGAGCTTCAAGTTGTGTTTTATGTAGGAATTTCATCAGTATCTATAAAATAGACAGAACATTGCATGGCCGCTTGGGGATACGAATTTTATCTTCTCGAGCTGAAAGTATCTCTCAATCGTTCGCTTTGCTGACTCGTGAGAGATGCTTTCAGCATTCGAAGATAAAATTCGTATCCCCGCGCGGCCATGTAATATCCTCTATGTACCGGTCGTAAATTGAAATAACAGTTGTCGAGAATTGTAATAACCAAGCTATAAAGAGTAGGCAGTGCGTAATGCGACTTAGGACTTATTTTTCCATATTCTCAAACGTTTTAAGGACTGGGACTCCAGATTCCTGGATTACTGATCATGAAATTCCAGACTTTGTGGTTCCGAGACTCAAAAGTGGATCACCTTTGGGTCGACCATAAGAAGCGAGACCTTGGGAACGAGGCTGCCTCTCTTTTGGCCGCGTGGCTGGGAGGTCTGGGGTGAATAGTAGCAATGGCGGCAGTTTTCATTTGACAGTCTGTGTCCATGGTTTTTAAGAATTTTGCTGGGTTCAGCTGGAGATATCATAGCTGTTATGTAGCTCCTAACAATCTGATTTATTACTATGATCCCTCGTGCGAATGTAAGTGCTACAGATGTCACAATCACTGTGCTAGACATTGAAAGTTTTCATTCATGGCTGGCTTCGAAACGGCCACTTTGCAGGAACTCGTTCAACAGAAAGAAAACGAGTGGAGAGAAGCGCAAGAACTCCAGATCAAATCGCTGCAAAGTGCTCTGAAGGAAAAAGAGAGGCAGCTCTCCAACGAAAAAGTCCGATTTAGGAAGTTGAAAGAGGATTTCGAATACAATTTGAAACTGTTAGAAGAAAGAGACCAAGAACTTCAGAGATATGATGCACTGTTTTTGCAAGTGAGAAATATTAACAGTGCAAGGGATGGTGAAGTTAGTGACCTGAAAATTCAGCTGGATGAGCTCAAAGTCAAACTATCACATGAAGAGAAAGCCAAGGAAGAGCTGCAAAGGCACTACCAACAGGTATCAGATTTCAGAATAATGCACTACCATAAATTCTCTATTAAGTCCCCCTCTCAAAAAAGCCCACTTCCTCCAATATGGCCCCCCCCCCCTTTTTCAGGGGAAGAAAGGGAATAAGCCTTCCCTCTCTGTTAAGCCCCCACCCCTCCCCATCCCAAATTATTCTTCACTAATAAATGATTGACTTTTTTACTCAATCACAACTGTAAAACTTTGTGTGGACTAATCCAGGATGCTCTATTTACCAACTGGAAGTTTGGATTTGATACTGATCTTCAGCTGCATGACCTAAAACTTCTTGTACCTGAGCCTTTCCACTATGTATTCTAGTTCTTTATGGAGTACTGATACCATCGTCTTTGTTCCGGGCGTCTTGGGTTGACTGTGAGCAGAAGGAATTTCCTTTAGTACTCCATGTTTAAAGCTCGTTAATGGGCCATTCAACAAAATGAATGCATCGCAAGTTTGAACATATTCATCCAACGATAAACCACTTTTATAGCCAATATCTCTCAAGGAAATACACAAATAAAGACGCCAGACAAAGGTTTATTCCCTAGCTCTAAATGTCAACATAAGCTTCCATTCGGTTAAATCTTAGGTATTTAAGCAAGGCAGCAACAATTTTCCAGTGAATAAAGCCAGACGGTCCACCTAGCCTTAACAATGTCAGATCCAGGGGAGAGGCCCCAGGGGCCCAGCCTCCTCCCCCTTATTTTTAGACCCAAAAAAATTTTTTGGAGACCGGCTCCCCCCCCCCTTATCTCAAGGTCTGGATTCGGCACTGCTTAACTACCTGGGGAGAACACTGCAATAGAGAAACACTGTGTTCAGGGGTCTGTACATTTGTATTTTGTTTAAATTCGTTGCATCAGTCAGTAATGCTTGGACCGAAACAGCCATATCATAAAAAGCATGGCCAAGAGACAGTTGGGCAGCAGTCGGCAAAGGATCATGGAACAAACTATTGAGGAGTTCGGTACGGGTCAGTTACAGCAGGAGGGATCTCCGTGATCCACATCTTTTCGCCAATTTTAGCCATAATTATATGTATACTAAAATTCAGAATAGTTTCGAATAAAACAAATTTATCCTATCCAAATTGTTAATTTTTCACGAGGAAGTGCTTAAAATACAACTGTAACATGACTCAGTTAAAATTAAACAGGATGTTGGCTTAGGACAACTTACAGTGTTCATGTACATGTATGTAAAACCTTTTTTGACAGCGCTTGAGAGAACACCAACAGGAATTGAACCAGTTTAGGCTTGTCAAAGAGAATGAGGTCAACAAAGAGCGAGAAGAGTTTGAGTCTTTCAAAAGAGAATTACAGATTCAGCTGAGGTACAGTGTATTATTTTTCAAGCTTAGTGTGGACAGTAGGCCAAAGCCGAGGAAAGAGATTCATTTAACAAGCACAGTTTTTGAACCACTTTCTTTGCCAATATTACAGCAACACACACACAAAAAAACTCAACAATAAGGAACTGAACATAACTCCCATCTGTACAAGCATTGTCAAGTATCAAATGCAGTTCTTAGTCCCAATAGTGACCAACATCAATTTTCTCCTAACAATATCCATACAATGTCAAGAGATTAGGTCATGAGAATTAATAAAATGATCACCTAAGAGAAAATGCTTTGATCTTTTATCAAATTCTCTCAACTCATTCTTTAAGGAAATGTATAGAGATCAGTTTGGAGAATTTGTACATGTATATTGGGGCTTAAAGGGTTAACTGTTACAGTTTACTATTGGTTTTTTTCACAAATACATTTTGAAGGTTTTGTTTTGATAAGTTATCCCATTACTTGCAGGGCAGCTGAAGAAGATGTGGAGTCACAGAGACAGGAACTAATGGCAGGGTTTGATGATGCTCTGCGTAAGAGAGAGCATGAGTTTAGAAAAAAGGCAGATGACTTAAGTAACTCTTTACTGGCCAGTGAACTCAAGGTAGGCTGAACCTAAAAATGAGTTGGATTGTAACATAGTTAGTTAAAAAGACAGCTACATGTACGTGTATTATCTTTTAGCGTTGGTTAATTGTGGGGACCCAGGTCCAATGAAGGGAAATATACCGGTAGCAACATAATTATAGCCAAAGCCCCTTAATATCACTCACTCACTCAACCTCTTCATCCTGCCGGGAACATAAGAGCCCTTAATATGGACACCGAAAAGCAGAGCTAAATTTATGTAGTACAGAAAAAGGAATTAATGTTTTGTAAGGCAGGATTGTATTAAGTTTGCCATCTCTGGGAGAAACTACATGTGTAATAGAGAGGTGTGTGTGCGTATGGAGGGATACAACTACCTTTACATGTTAAGCTACGAGAAGTTGTAGATACTGTGGGTTGCTACTCAATAATAATTTTTTTTAACATTGTTGCCCTTCCTTGGTTTAAAAAATTTGTATAGGAATGCCCATACATGTAGTTTTCAAAGAACTAAATTCCCCTCCCCCCACTGTTCATCATGCTGAGACAATGTTTATTTTAGAGATATCAATTGATACTGAAAATGTTTATGATAATACACCCTGTTATTTACTTTAATTTTGAGTACTATCACCATTTCTTCCGGCAGAGTATTACATCACTACGTGATAAATGTTTGGATTTTGAAAGTTTTCACATAATTTGAAAATTATCAACATCCATATTTATGTATGTTAGAGGTCAAAATTAAATTCAGGTTAAGAATTTTTTAACCTAGGTTGATTCCCTATTTCCTTTTTCTCTCAGTCCTAATTATAAATGAATTAGGGCTAGGAGACAGGAAATTGAGCATCAACCTAAGTTAAAACATTTTAATCTGAATTTAATTTTAACCTGTAATATGCACTTTAAGATTAAAATGCTTACAAAGGAGCTGGAGCTAGTCAGAGTAAGTGGAGAAAAAACTAAAGACGAACTGGAGGGATCTGAAACAACTGTTGACAATTTGGAAAAACAGCTGAAACAGAAGGATTGGGAGTTAACAGATCAACAGAGCATGCACAGAGCTAAAGAGGCTGAAATGGAAGCAGAGGTTGAACAACTGAGATCTGCTTTTAGCAAGGCACAAGATCGATTTCAGCACAAGCATGCAGAGCTGGATCGTTATGCTAAAGAGAAGGAACAAGCCCTTGTTGCAGCTAAAGAAGTATGCATAGCCTGCGAAAACATCCATTTCTCCTCGCTCTTCGCCGCTAGGCATGTTTCGCGCAGAGGAACGTCTGTGACTCAGCGACAGAAATTCCATACTGATGACATAAAATCTGTCCAGAATCCGGTCAGAAGTGCTGATTGGTGGACGGAGTAGTTACATTGTTTTAGTTATTGTTTACGAATGATAGACAAAAGACAAAATGCCACAAAGGTCAAAGGTTAAATGCAAAAAGCCTCTAACAAAACAGTCAATATTTATGTAGTATAGTCTTCCCTAGAAGAAGCATTTGAGTTTTGCTGGAGCGAGTTGACAGATGAACTCAATACTTTTCCAAAATCAACCACAAGACACGTAGAAATGGACAAATGTACATTCGGAACCCTATGACTTCGGGATTTATTATCTAAACATTGATTTGCGTCATCAGTATGGAATTTCTGTCGCTGAGTCGCAGACGTTCCTCCACAAGAAACTTCCCCAGCAGTGAAGAATGAGGAGAAATGGATGTTTTCGCAGGCTAAAGTATGCATGGTTTAAGAGAAACAAACCCAGAATGCAATCTATGATGCTATAAGTAGATGTTAACAGAAACCTCAGCATGACAAAAGTGTTACACTCAAAGTTCTTACCTTACACCCTGAAATCCCCTAGATATTTATAATAAATATTAAAATCTGTACATCTGAAAATGGCTTTTGATACTGATCTCTCTTTAACTCTTCGAAAATATCAGAGCTTACACTTTGCATCCCTTGTGTTAATAACAGCATAAATTTTTATGTCATCCGATCTAGTGTTTCACTTTCACGGCCTTAATTGCTTGGAATAGTATTGCATAGCATATTCAAGATGTGTTCTAGAAAATACCCAAGAATACCTCACATGAAAGGGTTTCTGGTTTTAACTTCCACACCCATCCAGAAATTCAACACATACATGTAATTTAACTTTGCGATTCCTCTGTATGTACATCACAGTATGACCTTCCAATTGTGAAGTAGGGAAAACTTGTTTTTTAATTTTTATTTCCCATAAGAGCTATAGTGGGCTTGAAAGAAGTTTAGAAGAGAAGATCCGTACATTGCAAAATCAGCTGGAAACAGAACAGGTTGAGTGTCGCAGATTGGTTTGGGCTAACAGTGATGCTGTGAAGGAAAGACAGCTGGAAGTGCAAAGGTATAAAAGAGTTTGTGATACTACATGATGTTGTTGTGATTTAAGTTCCTACAAGGTCTGAAAGCTTTCTATTCTTGTAGACCATGGCTATGAATTCCAGAAGAAAAGAGAAAATAATGGTGAATTTGCATTGAATTTTCCTAACCAATCATATGAGGGATTGTTGTATCTGTCAGGTGCCTCCTTACTTTTACATCTCACAAGAACTCTGATCACTTGTAACATCAAGTGAGCTCAGCCATAACAGGTTTTATGGGTTACAGCCCTCAATGAACCTTCCGCTCCCTTTTAATATCATTATTATTTAATGTTTACGTTGTTATAATAATTATTATTACCTCATTATTCTACAGGGCCCAGTTCCTGAAATGAAAAGTAGTGCTAATCACTTTGTGCTAATCCAGGAAGAACTGTTTTGTTGACAATAACTATTGTACAATATATTTACTTTCCTATAGACCTCTTTAGCTTGTATGTTTTGTTTTCCCAATAGAGGTCCCGGAGGAACTTGATCCTTTGCCTTTTCATAAATTATGCATACATATACATGTGAATAAAACGAAATTTGAAAGAAACAGTTCTCTAGGGTATTGTCACATGACTTGTATTGGGAAAAAAAACTTACAAACTAAAGAGGTCTATAGATTGTTTACAGTATCATTTTGTATTATCATTACTGAAACTCAGATTACAGGCTAAGTTATACTGTTACTGTACATGTACCATTATATTAAGCTTTTGGTGCATGCTCCTTGACTTGAAAACGTTGCTTAAAAATTGGCTAGCCCTGGATGACACATAGCCACCTCTCGAGTAAAAGGGCATAGACCTTTATGGCAAGTAATATTATGATAATTAACAATTATTATTATTTATTCTGCTGTTTTGGCATTATTTCACCTTTCTATTAGCAAAAGTTAAATTAAGGAACAATATTTTGTCTCTTTATTCATACCTGTTAACATCCCGTAAAATTCCGAAAATAAGTCCCGGGGCTTATATTTTTGAAGGGCCCTTTTTGAGGGGCTTATTTTTGAAGGGGCTTATATGCAGAGGGGCTTATCTACAGAGGGATATTTGCGTTTCAAAATCAATTGGGCTAGCCTTATAGTTGGAAGGAAATTTACCATTTTTGCTTTGTTTTAATTTGTATTTGAGGGCAATTTTCCAACTACAGGCCCCCGGGGGGCTTATATTTGGAGGGGCGATTTAACGGAGGGTGTTTTGCATTACCAGTTGGGGGGCTTATATTTGGAGGGGCTTATATTCGGAATTTTACGGTATATTAGGTTACAAGCAACCATAGCTGATCTAGGAAACAAGCTTGACAAGCAGGCAGCTGAGTATTCTCAGTCCACAGTAGCTCGTGACTTGGAACTAGAGGCCCTGAGACAACAGGAAGAGAAGATGAGACTTGAGACTGTACAAATCAAAGAGGCTACAGACAGGTTAATACTTTGTTTTTAAACAACTGACAGTTACTACAGTGAAACTTGTATCAAGGGACACTCATATTAATAATAATTTAATAATTAAGAACTTATATTGTGCAGTTTTCATGACGAGATGATCAACTGCACATTACAACAATACAAAGAATAAAAATAACTAAATGATAAATAAGAATTACATCATGTGTTGTGTATAATATCAAAAAACCTAACTATGAATAAAAAGCTTTACTGAAGGGTACGTCTTTAGAGGATTTGCTAAAAGTAAAATACAAAAATTACATAGTTCTGTGTAGGTATTAAGTAAACCTAACTAGGATTGAAAAGCCTTACTAAAAAGATTTGTCTTCAAAATTTTTTTAAAAGTGTCAACAGATTTGGCCATTCTAATTTCCAGAGGTAAATTGTTCCAGAGTTTAGGAGCCGAAGCAACGAAAATACGGTCGCCCAGGGTTGTTAAAGTTTTCATAGGACACTAGCTGGTGTCTGTTCAGTGAAGGTGTCTTCTTAGTTCAGGTTTGTTTATTATAAAGAACTCATGGAAGGCTTGTTTTGCAAACCTAATTATCAGGCATAATCATACATTTACCAATTGATTTCATTTGATTCTTGTTTCATTTTCACAGTTACCTTGATGTAAGTACTACCCCTAGTTTATCGTTTTTTACTTAGAACATCATGTAGTTTCTCGACCTCATAGTGGGGCTTTCTCTTTGAGTCTTCCAGGCCTCTTGGCAAAGTTTGTACAGCTGTATATAAATATTAAAATAGATACTAAGGAAGAGAATTACTACTTTTGGATGTACTGTATGTGTTATTGCTTGTGCTCTTGTTTTTGGTGTTAACGATTTTTAATTACTGTAATCTAGGTACAAAAAAGAGCTCACTTTAGCCATGGAGCGAGAGGCTTCCTTAGAAAGATCCAGAGCCCAGTTGGAAGTTGACTGGCAGCGATGCTGTGAGGACACTGAAAGAGAAGTGTACAGCAAACAGGAGCAACTCATTACTGGTCTCACAAAGCAAAGAGATGAGGTAAATGTACAATCATCAGTGGGATTTTCTGGAAAAGTGAATTAAAGCTACAACCATGTCCATTTCATCAGATTCTGAGCCTGGCATTAGACTATTTTATTTGGTTTAAGAACAACTGACCCGGGGACCTGACGTGGTGGGTACTAACAGAGGGCTACAAATAAAGGGGCATTCCTGCATAGCATTTGTGTGTGTTAAAAGTGGGAAGGTGGTAACTTAAAAGCTGATAACTGCAAATAAAACTCCGACATTTTGGCAATGCTGCTTTCATCAGGGCAAATATGTGAGTTCGTTGTAGCGGAAAATTTTAAAAGTTGAAAATGCGCGCCTAAGTGACTTGTGCGCGCGCAAGTCACGTGAAGGAGAAATCTGGATTGAGTCCACCCAGTGTGGGGGTGCCAAAATTATGAATAAAGTGCATCTCCTCGCGTCTTCTTTTGTCTTGTTCGGGTAGACTAGCTCTTATCACGGCTACTTGCATGTCCTCCAACTGGTGGTCCACTCCCGCAAAATGGACAGGCACTGGCAGGGCCACTAACTGAGGGCTCTCTGCCTCTATAATGAAAACCAATGACACTTTTACCATTAAAGATGTGCTCTAAGAGGAGTCCAATTTGGTTTTGTAATCTTATGAGTGATTAACAAATACGGGGCCATCCGATTTGTTTAGTTATGAGTATGATCACAGACTGAATTGGACAACAGGAAGTTCTGTTACCAATCAGTCATAACTACAACAAAATCTGTTATGCTTTAAGTTTTTTAAAGATTTTAAGAATAAAATAAAAGCTATTCCAAGAGTATTTTGCTAGAAGTGAAAACAAAAACATTCTATTGCACACGCACGATGCCACTTACTGTCCAATTACTTAGGCATAACGCATACTGTCTTACACTGTCCTATTAATGATGAAGTCAGTGCAGTTGATAGCCAATCAGATTTGAGAATTTTGTTATTGTGAAGATTAAAACTGATATTACCTAACATCATTATCTTTATTTTGGAGCAAGTGTATTAAGCTATAATACAGTTAAACTTCTCCTTATGGACACCTCTCTTGGTCCCAAAGATGCCCAATTTCATGCAGTTTATACTTCTACAATGTAGGCACCTTTCTCTATTCTAGACTGTTCTCTTGGTCCCAAAGATACCAAACGTCATACATTCCCTACCTCTATAATACAGACACCTCTGTGATAAGGAAACTTAGCTCTGTCCCTTTGGTGTCCTTAATAAAGAGTTTTAATGTAGTGTCAAATGCTACTCAGCAGGGTTGTCACTAAGATTTCAAGTTGCTGGGTAAATACAACAGGTAGGCGGGGAATCAAACAGCTTAGGGATTTCTTTTGGTTTTATTTGTCTTCTATTTTAATATGAAAGCACCCAGGGGCCACGTTCATAACAGCCGGAGAAATCCCCGCCCCCCGGCTCTTAATGACAGCCCTGTGCTACTGTAATTTCTGGAAGTACAATCATGGCTTTCGTGTTTATTTTTGTCAGTCTGTGGCATTAGCTCAAGAGCGAGAGCGGGAACTGGCTCAGCGGGATAGCCTGATACGTGTATTGACTGAGACCAGAGATCAGGCCCTTGTCACGCTTCAGAGACATGGTCTTGCCATTCCAACACAGTTTCCCAGTAAGGAGAAACAGACGGCAATCAATGCACATGGCACTGCTGATCAACAGGATTTACCTGCAGAAGAGAAGATCAAAGCCTTGGAAGTTCAAAATGCTGATTTAAGGGCTGTGATCAGACAAATGCGACATGACATGGAGGATCTTAACAACCAACTGGCTGGCAGGCCTCCTTCTGTTTTGGTACGAGGCAGAGATGGTGGGGAGGGGCCTTCTGTACCACTTACCAAAGGTATGTTGCAGTGCCTGGTTGGTCATGGTGATGTCACTGAATTCAGTATAACCCTGTATAACAATGTAGTTACGTAGAACAAACTTAGTAACTTAGAACAAACGCCACTGAATTGTAGTCAGCAGTCACCAGCACCTTTCAAACGACTCATTGACAGACTGGGGCAAAACTGACAACCATTGACTGAAAATTTGACTAACAATTAAGAACCGTTATAACTGTGAAAAAAGACGGATCGAAGCACACCAATCTCACATTTAGTCTTTATAGCCTATAACAACGATAGAAAAGATTACGATTTTATTGACCAATCAGTTCAATAATCAGAATTAAATACCATCAACTGACTTGCTTCCCACAAGTTGTCAAAACATCGTCACTTTTAACAGTCCTATTCAGAACTTTATTCACCCAGATGATCATATTCCACCTTCTCATGAATTCAGTATGTCACATGCCTGGAAATGATTTGTGAACACAACAAGCACTTCTTATAATAATCTACATAAATTACTAGAAGCAATGAGAGGAGTACTATGAATTACCTTTATCCGAAATGTCATCTTTCGGTTCAAAATGATAACTGGGTTAAAATGCATCCATAAACTGTTACACTCAAGAATTTAACGCGTATTGCTTGTTCATTTCTGTATTTGTATGCACTCACTTTCTTCATCAAACATGATAAACCCATTCACTCTTCAGACGATCAAAACTGCCTTGTATTTTATTTTTAAAGAACACGATCCTTTTACCACAGTCATGTCGCCAGTTTAAAAGTGCTCAAAGACCTCACAACTCCCAGACTTACTGACTTGCCAATAAACTCTCTTGCCAGAATACGTTGAGTCATTGGAAAAAGAAATCACAGAATTAAAATCAAAGAACAGAACACTGCGACAGAGGATGGAAGAAGTGGCATCTAAAGCCTCCAAACCTCCTCCGTATGGTCGGTCTGCACTCCCTGGAACTCAGGCACAAGATCCATTTATACAGGCCCATATCAAGGAACTGAACGGAGCAGTTGGTAATAATAATAATAATAATAATAATAATAATAATGATAATAGTTATACTAATGATAAACAATTATTGGATGAGGTTTTTGTCACAGGAAAAATTAACGGATACCCATTTTTGGATATTTTAGGGTATTTAAAGAATACCCATAAAAATCCCAAATTTGGCAAAGTGAGACAAGTCCCAACCCGGGAATTCCCAACCAAGTTCCCTGATTGGGACTTGTCTCACTCTTCCAAATTTGGGATTTTTGTGGGTATTCTTTAAATATCCTAAAATATCCAAAAATGGAAATCGGTTATTTTTTCCTGTGTGTGATATCCCGAATAATCAAGGTCGAGGTAAGTGTTATCAGCCGAGCCTAACTGATCTGTAGGTTGCGCTGATTCCCAAAATTAGCTGTAGGCTCTTAGCCAATAAGAAAACAGATAATGAGTACAATGTGTAATAATAATAACTAGTAATAACTAAAGGTTACGGAGTGCGGGCGACAACGATCGAAGGTCAAAACGCTTTTGCTCCATCACTGTGCTTTGCTTAAGTTTCACGTGAGAGATAGTCAAAACACGTGTGATCAGATTACAAGTGATAGAAGGTCCAAACGTGCGTGATCAAATTGCGCTCTATGCGCTCCATTCATTCTTAGTGGAAGTCCAAACGAGTGCTGGCTACATACATGCGACGCATGCGTAATAACAACCTGGAGATTAGGATTGCGGACTCCTCCTGTCGCCCGCAATAAAACAGTCATCTCTCTATCTAGGACTGACACCTTTTGGGACGGGCACTAAGTGTCCGTCTTAGAGAGATGTCTATCTTAAAGAGGTGTCCCTTATGAGAGAGACGACTGTAAAATCAAGGAACTGCACGGAGCAATTATTAGTAATCTAACATGTGGCACACGGTGATGCCAGATTCTGGTATCATGAGTCAGAGGCGATGAAAAAAGTCTAAAGGATCCCATACCGTTCGTTCTTCTCTCCACACCACCCTCCCCTGGGAGCCCATTCACAAGCTTATGGATAGTCTTCATACTTTGTCTTTGAGCAGGCGCTTTACGTCAGGAAAAGCTTGAGCTGACCGCACAAGTGAAGAAGCACCAAGCTACTGTGGATCATCTTCAAGGATCATTGAATCAAGCTCATGAGGAGGTATGGTGATAAAACATACACTGTACAGAGAGATCAGCGTATGGTATTGTTATTGTTGTTTATGTGCTGCTTTGGGAGACATTTTGAGATTTGCTCTGTTCACTGGACTGTCTCATCCCCATATGCATATGGAATACGTTTCGGTATCACCAACTCAGGGCTCTCATTAACTTTGAAAGTAGCAGAGAAAGTAGCCGGTTATTTAGCCAACGAATCGTCCCATATTTGTTATGTTTGACTCATTTTCAAACTCGGAATAGCTGGCTGACTTTGCTAACAAAGGGTCAATATAAGTAAGGAGCAGAGTGACGTACCTGGGGAGACAAAAATACAAGTTTTTTGAGCTCAAGCCTTGCGTATTTCATTTTGTTCAATGTCAAGTTCAAATTAAAGTAAGGATAGACAATGATAACACAAAAACCCTGAGCGAGGATTCTGACATCAATGTTGGGATTTGAAAGAGCAATATGGATCTCTAGACGGCCTAGATGGTCAATTGATGGAGTGGATATTTCGCTATTTTTAAACTCTCTTGATATGTTTGCCCAAAGCATATTAGTTTTGTTGAGCTTGTTACAGTTTTAAGAATCGCCTATTATTATTCATTCAAAATATTTCCCCGATTCTGATTGGCTAAAAGCACGCGCATAATTAACCATAACCAGTTACTGATGACCAAATTTGGGAGAATTTTGTGTTTAACGAGGAAATGACGTCAAAAGTGCAGCCTTCTGCAGGTTGATGCACCGTTAACTGAGAAGACCTGGGGACGAGGCTGAGTTGTTTTGGTCGGAAAAAAAAATAGCGGACATTTCACTCGTTTCAAGAGTAAGAACTACAGCTGGAACTAGGCGAAATAATAACTAAAAAACATGGCAAAAACAGCAACAAGACAACTCGGAAGGCGACATCTGCTATTTGGAGAATATTTGTGTAGCTGGACAAACCTAAATACACACTATCGAAAATGAACATCGATGCAGGTAAGCATGTTTTAGCTATGTTTTTAGACTAGGAAATATTTTGAAGGAATAATAAAACAATTAATGAATGAGGCTGAGTAGGATATGAAGAATTAAGCAGATCGAGAAGGGTGTTATCCACCTCGGCCTTCGGCCTCGGTAGATAACACCCTTTTCGATCTGCTTAATTCTTCATATCCTACTCAGCCTCATTCATTAATTGTTAATTAAACATCCCCGCGTGGACCCCCAAAGTTAAATAGATGCCCCAGGCGTTTAGTAGGTCATTTATGGTATTTAACTGTAGTTGTCTTAATGGCTTTGTGTTTTAGGTTCGCCAGAAACAGTTAGCAGTAGATCAACTGCAGTACGAGCTTACAACTCAAAACAGACGTGCAACTGATGAGCTTAGCGCCCTAAAACAGCGAATAACAGAACTGGAACTGCAGCTTATTCAGACCAGAAGAGAGGCTGATGAGTACTTCAAAAGTGGACTGGAAAGGAATGCTGAGGCCACTTCCTTGGGGAATCAGGTAGCACTTCAAATACATTCATCACTTTAACATTGCCTGTAGTAAAGACCTTTAGGGGCCGACCATTTAACTCTTAAGGGGGGCTGGTGGGTGATTTCTGGTCATCAAGAATTTTTTTTCTAGCAATCTGGTGGGCAGGATATTTTTTTCCCTTTTTTCCCATAAGCTTTCTATTACATTTACATTTGTGCTGCATGCAATTTTTTTCTTCAGACAAGCGCTTGCAGGAAATTTTTTTTCAAAATCACCCCCTTAGTGTCTAAGACGAGGACTGACGACTACGAGAACGAGATGTTCTCAATGCCCAGAGGTGCGCGCGCGTCAACCAGCGTTATTTGGGCGGGAAAACATCCAGATCGAGGTTTAAGTGTTTGGCAGACAATAATGTGATAAAACTATCTTTTGACAAAACAACATGGACTGGTTTGTTACCTAGGACCCGTTCTTTTAATCTTGAGATTTAGATTTAAACATTTGTCCATAGAAACTGGTCATCACTTAAAAAATTGTGTCGTAATTCAAAAGTATGATCTCTTGGCTGCCCTACATTGACACAACGACGAAGTCAAAGTTAAGCTTCGAACGCATTGCATTGTCCTCGCAAGATGCCAATCTCAATTGTGATGTTATGACCAACTGATTTGGATTGTCTTTTTTTTCTACTTCAGCTGTCAACACTTAAAGTGGAACTTGCATCCCAGGGGGGAGGGGGTAAGCTGTTTAATCCTCAGGCCTCAGTTGTTAAACAGCTTCAAGAAGAAATTCTTCGTCTCCGAAGACAGCTTTCATCAGGTAGGTATAAACGTCAGTCACTTCGCTGCATATGGAAGTCATTCTGATATGCGTAGAGCATTTAACAGTAGCGAAACAAGCGGATACCAAACAGCATGCTTACTACTCCATTCAGTGTTGTTCAGGATCTCCTGCATAAGTGGATCGCGGCCTTTCAAACAACTCGTTATTGCCGAGAGGTCTGCCGATAACCCTTCACCCGGACAACAATCCATAAAGCGACTTTGAATGAAGTGCAAAATATCCTGTGCGTGTCACTTTCATGGAAAGTAGTGGTGTTTGCATATGTTACCTTGAAAAATCTATTAGAAACATAGTCGCAAGCTCCTTAACTAATAAACTAAAGTGCTGCTACTAAGAATAAAAATACGATAGAGTATAAATAGGAAGGGACAAACATTTACCCTAGTAGCATAGACATGGAACGCGTTATTTTTTTTAATTGCTCGTTCTGTCTCTAGTATGCAGCACATCGTAATTTTTTACATTCTTTTCATGTTCAACTAGGTGTTCAAACCAGCAACGGCAACGAAGCCTCCTTCGACCCATATCCTGCCTCTAACGCGTCTCGCTTACACAGCAAACTGCAAGAAGCGGCGAGGCGCATAAGCCAGCTGTCTCAAGAGAAGGAACAGCTCATTCAGATGGGAAACAGATTGAGAGCTGAACTGACAAAGTTTACAGGTAAAGTCTTCTTTTTTGGTGAAATACACTGTAAATTAAAGAGATCTGTTTCAGCCCCAAAGTGTCAATTCAGCCTTGCAGGCCAAAGTCTGATTCAGCCCTTCCCGGAGCCATTTGAGCACAATTTAGGCCAAAAAAGCTCTATCAAAAGGCTATTCCAGCCCACGGTAGGGCCCATTTCAGCCCTGGGACCAAATCAGCCCTAGCTAATTGGACTTTATTGGCCCTGATTTAAGGGAGCCAAATTAGACCCAAAAATAGGACTGTATTTTACTCACCGAAACGGCCCTGTTTTTAGGGCTCAAACAGATCTTTCTGATTTAGAGTGTATCTCGTAAAATATACTGTAGAGCTGTAGATTAGCCATCAGCCATTCAAGGACTTCAGCAATCCAACAACATGACCTAACAGTTTCAATCTGGGTTTGGGGAGTCGTCAGGAAAGCCAAATAAAACAGTTCTGATCTTTTACAAATACAGATCGTTTTAGATTCAGCTTTTCATTTAATTGTACCTATTCTGGCCGGAGAACCATATATTTTCGTTTTCTTTTTTAGATATAATTGGCCCATAACTCGTTGATTTTTCGAACCTGCTGCTTTCGTTTAAAGTATCAAATAAAATAAAGGCGATTTACAACTATTTTCATTGTACGAAAATGCATTTTAGTTTCGTTCATGCCACTGACTTTATTTTTGACGTGGCTTCGTATAAAATAAAACGCACGATACAGGCAACTCTTTTAGCAGACTGACACTTTTCAACGGTCACTTTAATGTGGTCCTTGCCGCTCTTCAGTCACTTGTCTACAATGGACACTTAGTGAGTACCTCAGGTGTGTCCATCTAAAAGGGAGTCTCACTCTGTTGCGTAACACTTGGGTCAAATCACAGGTGGTAGAAAGAGTGCTCCCCCTGGTTCCATATCTGTCCAGACGTCCAAGCCCCATACCGCCTCTATGGGAAAGACCCCAAGGAAGCTGAAGGATGATATTCACAGTCAGCTTAATGCTGTGGAAAAGCTTCAGTACCAGCTCACCTCTCATGAGCTCCAATATGCTCAGCGCATGGCTCAGAGCGAACAACAAGCCGTTGACAAGGTCAAGGTCACCGTTGTCTCAAGCTCCAGTGATTCTAATGAAGGTTTGTGTGTGTTAACTTATGGCCGAATGTGCACGGTCACAACGTTTATCGTGCGCTTTGTAGCCTGCGCGGCAGGCGTTTGAAAAGGAAAGGAAAGGGGGGTTTGGGCGCGAGGGAGACGCGAGGGCCGCGCCCCCTCGAGTTTCTCTCGCGCCTAAAACAACCTTTCCCTTCCCTTTCAAACGCCTGCCACGCAGGTTATGCGCTTTGTTGCTGTGATGAGGTAAGAACGAACCTAACCGACGACGTAAACAAAAGCACCAAATACATACGTAGTAGTGTGCAAATCTGTATTGCCTTTTTCTAGGAAAACAGGCGCTGTAGATTACAATAAATAAATAAATGAATAAAAATAAGTGAGTAAGTAAAGATGTAGAGGTAACAAATCCACATAGTGGTTATTCGTCTACCATTCCCGATCGTATTGGAATTTGAAAATGTTGGTTTTTGAAGAGAGGGGAAAACCAGAGCACCCAGAGAATAAGCGTAAAATTCCGAAAATAAGCCCCTCCATGTATAAGCCCCTCCAAATATAAGCCCCCCGGAGACTTGTACTTGGAAAAACTGCCCTCAAATACAAAGTAAAACAAAGCATAAACGGAAAATTTCCTTCCAACTATACGGCTAGCCCAATCGATTTTGAAACGCAAATTTCCCTCCGTAAATAAGCCCCTCCAAAAATTCTCGGCTTGCACTGTCACGCAATGAAAAATAAAAATGCAAACCATTTAATACAGAAGGACTAGAATCTGGGAAATGAAAAAAGATAAATATACAAAAACTCTTGCCAAGAATCAGGTCTGTGAAACATTTCAAATGCGAGATATTGGGAAAAACGGTTTACCAAAATTTATAAAGCTTTGTATGGAAACGCCATGTTGGTGTCCCTTTCAGGAACACCAATATGGCCGCCGGATACCAACAGAAACATCTGTTTTCGAGTTTTCCTACTAACGCGTGAATTCTTCGCTTGAGGAACTCATAAAGATTACAGTAATATTTATTCTGAGACAAGGAATGTTTAGATTGCAAAATCTCCCAAAATCGGTAATGTTTTTAACCCACATAAGAGCTTTCCCGGCCGCCAGCTAAATCCCGCGTCACGCAAAAGCCTGGAAATTCAAGCGTCCTCTCTCGCAAAACGAAGAACCCCTTCGAACCAAAAATTTGTTTATGTAAAGGTGTGTAGGTACTGTAATAGCCCGTGAAAGTAGAAACTCAGAAGAATCGATAGTTTCTGAGTTTGATTTTTGGTGACGTCACGTGCAACCCAAGAAAACAAAAAGGGCCTTTGAAAAATATAAGCCCCGGGGTTTATTTTCGGAATTTCTCGGTATCTTTTAGAACAGAGAAATACTAGCAGCAAATTCAACTCCTATTTGGCGTCAATTCTGGGCCACAGTTGTTGAGAGGAGAAAGCTCTCTCCACCGCGCATGCGCCGGTCTTGCCTCCCCTCAACAACTGACTGCGCCTGCGTGTGTTGCTTGTGCTTTGCTAACGTCACAGTGTAGGCTGGGTCTTAGGAAATTGATGAATTTGATTTGAAGTTTTTTTAGTTTTATGAGAGAAAGAGCGTAATCTGTACCTGGACCTTTAATGTGAGGCGTTTCCCTGCTGAGCATCCTGCGAAAACAACAGGACTCGACTTCTTTACGTGTATTGCGTCTCTTTTGCGGAAATGATTAACTTGAGCGACTGTCCGAAAGTCGGGTTGTTCACATTTGTTGAAGGTAAAATTATTTTCGTGTGATTTAGACGGGAGAGCTCCGGAGCCTCTAAAAGAATCCCAAGAGATGGAGCCACGTGATGTAAGCGCAAAGAAAGACGTACCAGCAGAGGATAACGTGACCAAGCCTTTAGTCATTCAGAGAACATCGTCTCCTGTGTATGAGCAGTCGCTGTTCACTTCATCCTCTGAGGGTCAGGCTTCGTTACAGGAAATCTGGAAAATGTTGGAAGCTGAAGAGAGTTTCCGGAGCCCGACTCCGAGAAAAGGGCGACCCAGCTCTCGTCAAAAACTTCCAGTCGAGCGAAATGTGGAACCTGACTACATTCCTGCGCGCGATTTGCCGGAACGCGACGTGTTTGCTTTGAAAGGAAGACGAACGGAGGTTCAAACCAGGCCTGCCAAACTTCGACCAGAGATGTCTAAAAAGGCATCTGGGAAGGTTAAACTAACTCCGAAAAAGATAAAGGTCAGAAATTATAACGTCAAAGATGATTAAACTGAGTTTATGAACAGTTAAAAGAGTGTAACCACCTAGTTGGTTGGTTGTTCTCTACTATATACAGTCTACCCAACTCTATTGGGACAGAACTGTCTAACAGAGTAGCCGGGAAGGTCAAGCTTTTCCAAAAAAAAGTTTAAAGTCACGGATAACAACGTCGAGGATAATTAGCCTTTATGACCAATTGAACTAATGTCACAACCTGTCGGTTCGTCTGTGCTCCTAATGGTTCATCTACGTTGCTCCGAAGAAATATGAAGTCAGGGCCCATAGGCCAGTTGGCTCCGTAGCCTGCGACTGCTGAGAGCAAGCTCACCATTTATGGCGAGAGAACGCGCGAGCGAGCACTTGCGTCTCCTTTCGCGTGTTGCTCTCGCGTGACTTCTCGCGGCTCCCCCAAATGGAGAGCTCGCTCGCAGGCAATTGGCTCCGAGGCTGAGGGATATAAAGCGAAGGAAAACGCAGTGTGAGTGAGTTTAATTTCAGGGATGAATTAGGGAGTCGGCTGAAGGATTACATTCTGCTTCCTTTCCCCCCCTCCCCCCCAAAGGAAGACACTGCCCTACTGCAAAGAGCACGATGTTCTTCAAGGACAAACGACAGTAGTCATGAGATCAAGCTCTTACCTTTTTTTTCTTTAATTCTTGTAAGTTCTGTACGACTCTGTTTCAAAGCTTTGTTCAAATGCTAGGAGTATTGTAGACTCTCGATTTTGGTTGGAGGGCACTCTCATTGATGTTCTTTACAAGTTCAACTCACGTCAATTCGCTTTCCCGTTTGGATTACAAGATCAATGTTCGAAAGTAGCCGAAAGGATAAATATTTCTTCACCGCTTTTGTTCGATCGAGTGTATGCCCTGTTTTTCTCTTTATTTCTAAAAAATTTTCTTAAGAGCTATTTATAATATGAAACTACTTGATACTAAAGTACTTATTTATTTACACAAAACTAAAAGTGTAAATACTTCCACCAGTTTTCCACTATTACCATCTTTAAGTTTAAGCTGTTTTTCTTGTAGCTTGTTGATTATTAGTTAGTATCGCTATTAGAAAACCCCTACTCAGTTTATAATACTCTAAAGTGATCCGCTATATTACGCTACAAAATACTAAAACTAACAAGGATCTTTTCTACGCGCTACTTTTTCTCCAGGAAAGCTTTGTGCCACTAATGGTTTGCGTGTCATATAGATGTATTGGCTAAATAATTATCGTAAATCTTGAACTAAACTGGTTCCAGGCGCTTGTTTTATTTGTGAGTCAACAAGGAGATTGAGGTTGACAGTGCTCATGTTCGGAAAAAGGGACTCATTCTTTGTTTCCTGAATCATTTATTGTCACATGTATGGCTGCGTAGCAAGCGTTTCCAGAAGGATGGGCGGCTATCAATAGATTCGTTCCAGCTGATTCTTTTCTTGAAATGCCGCTTCCATTTCTGTCATTCTTCCTTGGAAAAGGTGTGTTTTACAAAAATCCTACCTCAGTCTAAGGCCCTGTTTACATGGAGGTGGGGACCCCAGATAGGTGAGGTAGCATGCCGCAAGTCACCCCACCTATCATGTAAACGTGATCAAATTAAAAAGAGAGATTATGTGGACAGGCGGGTTATCTCACTTAAGCGGGTTACCTCACCTACCAGGGGTCCCCCACCTCCATGTAAACAGGCCCTAAGCTTTTAGTTATAAGACGCTTTTCCTACAAAAGGCGCGAACACCGTGTGAACTCGGTATCTTTTAAAACTTCGCTAAAAGTTCTTTTCAGTTTCCTTGAAATGCTCTTCGTTGTGACATTATCAGATGAACTGTGATATCCTGGAAGAGAAAAGAAAGTTGCGGAATGTTGAAAGTCGTTATCGTTTTGCATTTTCGCTTTGCTTCAAGTTAAACAAAGCGAGACGGTTACAATTCCCATTGAGGTATCCCGTCATTTTCTTTGTTTCTGTGTTTGGAGATCTTTCGTGAACCTAGACTGTCGTGCCGAGTTTCAGCATTCTTCTGAAGAACTTACAGTAGAATGACTTAATTCAACTACACACGAACGGTCAAACAAAAGCTGAAAACGGAGAGCGAGACTGGGGAGAGGGTTTTTTTTCTCTCGCCTCACACGCCTTACGTGCGCGTGAGGCTTGCGCGCTACGCTGCTCTTACTCTACTCTAAACCGATTTTGAGAAAAAACTGACTTTTTTGTGCAGTCCAACGCATTGGCGGTTCCCGAAATTTTTTTAAAGAGGTGGGGTGAGACAGGGTGAAGTAAATTTATGCACACCATTGACAAAAATCTTTTCTACCCCTAACCCGCTGTTTGTCACACGTTGCTGGCCAGTAAACTTCAACTTTTTGCTGACCTTTATATATGATCTTGCAGTAGTTAAGAATTAGGTTTTAAATTTAAAACTACGTTAATTATTAAAAGTTAAGTAGGTCTATTCTATTTAGCGCGGTTTGGGGAGGTGGTCCAGACTCCGCCATACTCTCAGGTCTTAACCTTAGATTCGCTGCTGATATTCCGCATTCGGTAAACTTCTCTAGAAATGTTTTCCTTTTCATTAAAAATCTGGTTAAGTTTAGCTTACATAACATGGAGGATGCCAACAATAACAGTCGAGAGAAGGCTTCTGAAAGCTGCTGTGCCTGTGAATACAATCAAAAGAGACATTTCGTCACAATTGCTACTTTGCTGCCTGTGTTGCAAGTCAGGCTGAAAACGAAAACAGTGGTACTACGTCGGGGACCCGGGGGGGTACTCCCTTACAATAGGCTAATGGGGATGTGCCGCTGGATGGGGTCGCATTTTCACGACTGAGGTGACTATAATGGGATCGCATTTTCAATAGAGTTACTAGAATGGGGTCGCAAATTTTCGGATTTTGGGGGTAAGTAGGGATTCAAAATGGGTAGATTCTCGGTTAAAAAAATCAGAAAGTTGTAGTTTATTAAATTTAACAATAAGCTCGCAGTGATCGCATTTCATTCCGTTCTTGATAAGGTAGATGCATAAATAGAAAGTGACTAAGTTGAGATCGCGAAAATTACATTTTCCAAAACGTGACTAAGATGGGGTCTATAATTGGCCCAAAAATAGACTATAATGAGGTAAGGGCTCTGAGAGGCCAGCGGCACATACCCAGCAAACATTAACCCACAATGATTTAGCTTTATCATCTGTGTTGCGATAAAATAAGCCTGCCATCGTTAAAAGAAACTATTAACTTTTAGATCGCTTTCTATAACTATCAAAGTGCCATATCCAAAGTTGACTGGAGGTATCTTTTAACTTTATACGCTCGACGGTAGGAGGGGGTGATGCGCGCCACTAGGAAGAGGTTCAGCAGAGATGACTGGGGACGAGTCAGCTTCGAAGAGCTGACCCGAAGACTTCGAAATATGTCTGGATTTTACAAGAATTCTGTAGATTTCCGAAAAGCTTCCGCACTAAATCTGCAAATCTTTGAAGGAAAGCCTCTAGAAATTAACATCGACGACTAATGTTGTTTTTGAGGTTAGCACAGAGGGATGGACGTCAACACAGCTGTTTCGATCGATTCTCAAAAGGTAAATGTAGCTTAGCAATATTTTGTAACTAAATCGTCTAGTTCTGCTAGTTTACCTGAGCAGTATTTTTCGCATGGAACCGTTTTGGTTCGCTTCAATTTGCGATTGGCGGGAACTGTAGAGTAAGAGGGACACCACTCAGTTGCTTCAACCTGACCACCCACATTAGAACAAGTTTTACTGCAATCTTTCTCAAAAACGGTGTATTCCGTACAGCGAGATGACGCTGAAAAAGAAGAACAACATTTTATGAAAAATATGTGGGTCATGATTCTAGGAGGAGGTACGCTAATATGTAAGAGATACGTTTTTTTTTTTTTTTTTGCTGTGAAGGCTGTGGTTGTTGAGTAGTCTAATTGCGAGTAGGGCATGGAAATCTCGAAAGAGGGAATTCATATAATTTTGGTCTAGGAACAAGTGCATGATTCAGGTGCCTACAGACGTTTTTCTTTTTTCGACAATTCTACAGCGCGCGAACAAACCCGAGAGAGCGGTGCGGTGTATAAATCCCCGCCGTTTTTGTTTTTATACGCGCGCTCGACGATCTGTGTAGAGGAAATAAAGGGTGTTGTGAGCATGCTACAAGTGGTGTTTTGGTTTGGAAACCGATCATTGTAACAAAAAATTTAGTCAAGAATGCTTACTGAAAGCTCTTTGACGAGAAATGAGGAGTAGGATTGCTGCAAAGTTAAATCAAACCCCCAAAAACCGTGAGATAATAAAGACGCATACGTACATGAAGGTGAAGGTATCGGTGCCTGAGTTATGGGTGCAAAGCTGCTAGTTGTGCGGGTAACAACAGTTGAATTAGTGTGCTCTTGATGAAGACTCGAACTCACTGTTAATGTTGGGCTTACTGAGAAAGGACCAGGTTGACTGCTCACTCCTAACGAAGCATTGCTCGTGAGGGAATCACTCTGACTGGGGCGTAAAATGTGGCTTGTGGTTCCTCCTATTGATGAGTTAGGCTGTTGCTGGGTAAGCGAATTTGACGTGTTTCTCTCCGGAGAATGGGCAGATGGAGAAATCTCGGCCTTCGTCGTGACACTTATTTTCACCGAAGAGCTCGGCGTAGTGTTCGATAGAACTTTGGTGCCTTGAATGGTCTGTGAAATAGAGATGGTGTTGTTGGTTTAATAATATTCCTAAGACTAAATACAATATGGACGGCCAAAACCACGTCTAAAGACCAAAAAAGGTACCAACTAACGTCATTTAGGAAGGGTGACACTTGAAAGCTTCAAAAACTGATAAACCAACCTTTTGATAAAGCTGACTGTGGCCCTCTAAGGAGGCAGCGTGGCCGAGCGGTTAGAGCGCTGGATTTGTAGAGGCCCCAAGTTTAAGTCCCGCCCTGAACGCTAACTGGATTTGTTCTCAGTAGTCCCGAGTTCAAATCCTCGACTACGCTTTAAATAGCCAACTGGTTCGCCTCTGGCCAATTGAGATTCTTAACCCTGTTGAGTTTGATTTAAATTACTTGTTTCAGGCATTTGCTCGGCCCGACTAGAATTAGTGCTATAAATACTGCCGAAGGTAACTGACAAAGCTCAGTATTTTGCCTGACAAACTCCAGCCTTCATTTCGGGTCTTGTTTTCCATGAGTTGTGTTTACAAAAACATGATACAAGGGCGTGGCTGGGATTTTTCAAAGGGGGGGGGGGGAAAACACACAGTTTCACACCATGGGTACTTACCTGATTGGCATTTCGACATTCACGCCGTGTTTTATAGACTTGGCCACAAGTAGAGCTCAAAATCTTTCTCGAACGCAAAGCGTGAGCTAGCTACCAGAAGAGGAAACGAGAAGAACGAGAACGACATTTTTTGGGATGAGCAGTGAGCGTGGGAGAGGGACAAGCCTACAAAATAGCTGGAAAAGATTTATTGGATTTTGATTCTTTGGATTCGCGCGTTTTCATTACCTGAATTATAGGGACATAAAACAATTGTCTCATAAAGGGTAAGTCACAGGCACCCCAGGACCCGCTAGTTACGCCCTTTTGATAAGACCAGGCCTGTGAT